GACCAGTTGCATTGACCGGGCTTTTTTCTTCTATATTTATCCCTAAAAGGCAAGTTATACTGCTTAACCTAGTTAAATTATCTGAAGGAGAAATCTGATCTGACTTATTAAAAATGTGGGTTTTCTTCTAAGTATTTTATATTTCTCTGCAATATGTTCTCTACTAGCTGGGGTCAATGATCAGGTAAGGCAGCTGAAGGCGAAAGACATTTCTGGAGTTACTGTCCAAAATTACAGCTCTTAAGAGTCTGCCAGCCAAGACCTGTAGCTATGAAGACAGGAGTAGAAAACCAGAAGCATTGGCTGTATCTGTTCATATCTGTTCAGTGTCAGTTTCCATTGAATAACTGTCTCTTTCAGGCCTTTGCAATGAAGAGAGAGTGGGGCAGTGCCACTTAATCCAAAAGGGGTGTCTGGAAGAACTCTTAGTCACAAGATAGTTTAGCTTATCTCTCCAGCCTCTCTGTCATTCCTGCTGCTTTACCCTTGATGGTTTACGCCGCAAAAACCGAGACAAGCAAGCCTTATCTGTGTGAAGCTTATAACACTGAAATGGCGATTTTGAATATATATGCTCCAAATTTTGAGAAGGGTTTTGATTATACAGCTCCTTTCTTAGTAACCTTATGACAAGCCTTTTATTTCAGAAATAATGAGGATTGCTTGGTTTAATTGAAATCCAGTTTGATTTATAACAAAAAAAATATAGTTGAGAAAAATGTTACGGTTTGAAGGAGGTTTGGATGGAAGATTTTAATGATTTTCTCATCTTTATTTTTATATGCATTAAGTATTTGTAACACATTTGTGTAGAATGCTAATTGGTATATTAATTTGCCTCAATTATTTATGTTTAGTTTGACAAAAACTCTCTTGAAAATATTTTCCTGGAATATTTTATCTCTTTTTTAACTGTAATATTTTAATTTATTAATTCAGAAATTATTTCTGCTTTTAAAGTGACACTGCATTAACTTGATTAGGAGTGACTGCCAGGGATATCCAGAGAGATGGAAAATATTGTTTTGACTTAAAAATCTGGCCTTTTGCTTCTGTCTAGCATTGGTCGTAATAAACACTGTGCCTACTAATTTACCGAGATGTACAAATGCATCAATTAAGAGTAACAAAATAAACTTGTTTGTTTTTTAGCTGACAGTTGGGGATGTAATTTTTCAGTGAATTTATTCATTCATATGGGTATCATTTCAAGTGATTATGTAGGAAATGACTTGGGTGTGAAATCTGAGAAACAGTCTGAATTCACAAATCGAGTTAAATCATTATGTGCTTTTGTTGTTTTGACTTAATGTGTTGTGTGGATCTATATTATAAAACATGGTTTACAGCTCACCATATTATGTGACCCAGGCTATTGTGGCTTGCTCAGCAAATCTTTGATTAATAATTACTTGCTATAAACCCAATCAATGGATGTAATTCCTCTTTCTCTTCAAGAGCCGGCTCTGATACAAAAAATCAGGAAGTGTTGATAACACCTTTTCCATTTAACCAAGTATATATAGTCCTTACATAATGACCATAATTGGGACCAGCAACTCCATTATATATCATATGACCACAGTAGACTTATGACCTCACTTCCATCATGGTCATTAAGCAAATCACATATGGTCATTAACACATACATCATGTGACCGCAACTTGTGATTCTTCTTCTGGTTTCTCCATTGACTCTGTAAATATGAGTTTGCCACCTAGTGCCTGTGAAAAAATAGTATCATTGTGTAGTATGGGCTGTAGCTTATTAGTATATTTGAATGGTTTGAGCTGTGAACTATAGGTTCAAGCTTTCCCCTGCACTAGGTGGCAGGCCCATTTTCAAAACTAAGAAATAAACCCATAACTATTCATCCCTGTTTCGACTTCTTCAATTTGTATATTCATTCATTCAACAAAGGTCTCCAGCATTTCTTTTTTTTTTTTGTCAGTAGGGAGAAATGTATCATAGAAAATATCAGTATCTGTACCAATAAAAAAGATGGTAGGTTTATGAGGTGATGATTTTTCTATTTAAAATAAAATATTTTTTTTGAAAAAAATAACAACATAAATACTAAAAAAAAAAAGTGCCACCAAGAACTTTTGGAATATGGCCTTTAGCTTTCTTTAGAAATGCTGAAACAGGCCTTGGACCAGCTATATTTGCATGCCCTTGGCTTAAAGTCTGTTTAACAGGTGAACAAATTCTAAATTTAGTTTTGAATATCAGTTTTCTTGATCACTTCATTTCAGGTATGTTTTCTTGTGTTCTCCTGCCCAGTATCCCCCCTGAAACTATAGTATTTTGGGAGCTAAATATATGCTTATGGGGGTTTAATTGTTTAGCCTGTGGCCCATTATTATGTGATTTTATGTTACAAAACTATATTGTATATTTTATATGTGGCTGAAGACAATTCCTCTTCACTCAGTGTGGCCCAGGCAAGCCAAAGGTTTGGACATACATGGTTTAGGACGGTGCTATTCATTGACTTTGTACCTGCAACTAAATAGAATAGAAAGAGACTAGATCAGTGGTTCTCAATCTGGTTAATGCCGCGATCCCCAGACGGTCGTAAGTCGAGGACTACTCAACCGGTCGTAAGTCGAGGACTACTCAACTGGTGCAGCATCGTTTGCAGAATGGGACTTTTGGCGGGCTCAGCAGGGCAGAGACACCCTGGACAATTCCTATTGGCTTTTGAAAGCCAACAGAATTAGACTTTATTCAAGAGAGTCTATTCTATTGGCTTTCAAAAGCCAATAGAATAAAAGGGAGTAGCACAGCTAAGGAAAAGGGGGAAAAAATGGCGGACTGCGTTGTTTGGTGACCCCCATGAAATGGTTGTTCGACCCCAAATGGGGTCCCGACCCACAGGTTGAGAACCACTGAACTAGATAGAAAGCTATCATCTTTCTATCTTATCTTGAAAACAGAATAATTCTTCAAGAGAGATATAAAAGTGCATATGTTTCTTGATCAGGCCACACAAGTGAACACTTTGTTTATTTTTCTGTCAGGGTTAGTATCTAGCAAAGAAAGAACAAATAGAGGAAAACCTCATAAAGTAATCTCATTTAATGAGGAAGTTTGTTAAAGTAGAAAATCCAAATTTTATTGGATTTTTATTTACAATCAGATGTTTTTGTTGCGGTTTTCCTTCAATTAAGAAAGTAAAAGACACCGTGGAACCCTTCTTCCATCAGTTTAATATTTAGTGTGACTGAAACTGTTCATTCATGTGTTCATTTAACATTGTTTTTCAGTTCCTTTATTTTAATTCCACAATTAATGCTCCTTCAGTGATATAATGCAGTATAGGTAGTCTTTATTTAAGGACCATTCATTCAGCAACCATTCAAAGTTACGATGGCACTGTAGGAGGGGGACCTATGACTAGTCCTCAAAGATGCAGCCATTGCAGCATCCCTGTGATTCTTATGTGATTCTCATTTGAGACATTTGCTGCTGGCTCCCTGTAAGCAAAGTCAATGGGGAAGCTGGCAGGAGGTTGCAAATGACTGTGGGAAGCTGTGGCCCACATGGGATTCACCTAACAATGGCAACTGGGACTGCCAGAACTGCTATCATAAATAAGGTGACCAACCGTCCTCCTTTTGGGAGGACAGTCCTCCTTTTGTGAGTTCTGTCCTCCCTCAAAAAATGTCCTCCTAAATGTCCTCCTTTTCCATATACCGTCCTCCTTTTGGGAGGACAATCCTCCTTTTGTGAGTTCTGTCCTCCCTCGAAAAGTGTCCTCCTAAATGTCCTCTTTTTCTATATTTGAAGATTAATCTGCAGGGCTTTTTTTCCCTCATAGAACACTCAGAAGGCGTTCTGAGACCTTTTTTTGATGGTTTTTTTCAACTTTTGCATGAGCTGTGCTACTCCCCCTATTGGCTTTCGAAAGCCAATAGGAATTGCTGCTGAGTGCACCAAAACATCCGGCCGGCAAATTTTGCATGTGCAAGTTGCAGGAACTTTGCACCCCTCACTGCTACCCAACTACACCATCTCCTACTTAGTTCCGAAGATAGCTGGAGGAGACTGGAGCGGTAAGTTTCTCTTGATCTTCCCTGTTCGGTTCTACACAGGGATGCACAGGGTAGGTAGTGGTGCTGGGGGGCAGCTGGAGGGGTGGCTGCAGGGCTGGAGCTGGCGCGGCTGGTGCTTTGCGAGCCGCGGGGCCGGCTCTATGGGGATGCGCAGGGTGGGCAGTGGTGCTGGGGGGGCAGCTGCAGGGCCGGAGCTGGGGCAGCTGGTGCTTTGCCTTTGCAAGCCGTGGGACTGGCTCTATGGGGATGTGCAGGGTGGTGCTGGGGGGCAGCTGGGGGGGCTGCAGGGCTGGAGCCAGCGTGGCTGGGCTTTGCCTTTGTGAGCCGTGGGGCGGCTCTATGGGGATGCGCAGGGTGGGCGGTGATGCTGGGGGGTGGCTGCAGGGCCGGAGCTGGCTCGGCTGGTGCTTTGTGAGCCACGGGGCTGGCTCTCCATGGCAGGGCAGCAGTGCTGGTGGGGCGGTTGTGGGTGGGGGCGCGGCAGGCAGTTGACCTTCCATGGGCCGCATCAGCTGGTGGCCTATGCAGTGCTGACCTGCGCTGCCACCACCTCGCCCTGCACACCTACGTGGCCGTCCTAGAGCGCCTGGCTCACAACACCTGCCTCCGCCGCCAGCCCCCGCGCAGTCCAACCATGTAGATTTTTGGCAAGTGAGAAATCGAGATTGAATGTTGATACTCTAGCTGCAGCACTTGCCGTAAAATTCAATATGAAGGATATTTCTTGTTCAGATATTTCCAATATATTGTTAGAAGATGATACATTGACAAAAAATATTCATTCAATGGAAAAGTACTCATTTAAATAATTAATAGGCATGTAAGCATAATTACAATATAAAATGTTATTTTTACAAATGTTTTTTATTATGCATTTATCATATTATAGTGTATTCTGTATTATTGTTGCAATAAATACAATGTTTCTTTTATTTACGATATTTTTTCTTCAATTTATTCGTGTCCTCCTTTTCGTTGTAAAAAAGTTGGTCACCTTATCATAAATCACCTCAGTTGTGTGTTGTTGTGCTTTACAACCATGCCTCATAGCAACCCAGTTCCTGTTCCAGTTACTACTGGTAAGTGAGGACTACCTGTAGGTTTATAGAGAGAGAAAAGAAGGGAGTTGGAAGGGAAGGAACAAGACCATCCTCACAACAGTTTAATAAAAAATGTTAAAGACTTTTTAAAGTTGCATTTTTGTCAGTCTCAGTTACTGCAAATGACATAAGGTCCATAAAGCTCTCTTATTCATGGATTTTAGAGGATTTTTAAATATATCTTTGTTTGCTGAATCTTCACCCCTAGCTAGGTTTTATTGGAATCTGTCCTGACAGAGAGTTTATTTGCTGTTTTGATTTTTTATTAATTATTATTCTACCATGAGGGGTGGTGCTGGCTACCAGATCTGCTGGCTTCAAAACAGAGTTAGACGTAAATTCCTGGAAGTGATGGGGTGTGATTGCCACTGAAGGCCATCTCTGAGGGACCAGTGATCTTCCTTGGGCAGCTGATTGTCTACTGGGAGAACGCTGCTGAACCTGATGGTTCAGGGGCCTAATCTAGCAAGGCACCGATTATGTTCTTATGTATTAGTGGTTTTTTTTTATCATGTTGATCTATTTATTGCATTTATAATTTAAACTTGTTATAATCTGCCAGACTCTTTTGGATTGGTGCCCTCCAGATGTGGTGGATTAAAATCACCAACTCCTGGGGTAATTAGAATTGTAGAAAAGCCTTGCCTGTGGCATCCTGACAAATTCTGGAATGTTTAGGTTCATTTTAAAATTTATTTTTAAATTGGAGCATTCTGCACAGTAATATCAACAGAGAATAACTCAGTTGATAGAGTCCTTTAGGTTCTTTTGGTATTATGTGCCTTTAACCTTATTTTCACACTGCCGTGATTCATTTTGCAATCGAATCACCTTAGAAATGGAATGACTAAAATCATAACAAAAATACACTTAATTGTAACTGGCAGTGTTCATTTCTTAATGAAGAACTTTTAATCAACGTTCAGAAATGTGCTAATAACTGTAGATCTGATCTAAGAAATCAGACTATATTTGTACATATAACTGAAGCCATTGGATATGTGGGTCACCCAATAACCTACACTTTTAGAGGAGAGAAGTGAAACTTCTGCAGCCAACACAGCATGCCAATGATGGGGAGAGGTGATTGATTTCATTCAGAAACATCTGGAAAACAACAGGTGCCCAACTTGGGAGGTACGATGAGATGGGCAGAAATGTTTTTATAAGGTTGAAGTGATTAGTAGAGTATTGTTTGTTGATATATTTCTTCATTATGTGATAATATGCATAGTGGCCTGCAACTTTTATTAAAGGGCTGTTAGTGAATGAATAAAAATTACATTTGGACCAATAAAGAATCATGTTTCAAACTGGGAAAGCAACTTATTAATGACTATGGCAGCAATTTCAGTATCTCCGCTTTTTAAGATGTTTAGTAACTGTTAGTTGGAAGTCTGCTTTTCATTATTTCCGTATCATCTGCTAGCAAAAGAAATCATTTGGAAAGAAGTATCATCAAGCAGACTTTTATTTAAAGCAGACCTTGAATCAGTGACACATGCAGAGCTAGTTCGGTGTGAATCAATTTCTCTTATCCACACTATTGTACAAAGATGTGTGATTTCTAGAATAGTAAGCTAATGGAAGCCTTATTTTTAAATTATTTAAATGTTTTTTTTTATCCTGCTCTTCAGAGAAGCATATTACAAAGATCAGAGAACAGATTGTTCTTGCCCACAGCATAACAGTCTAAAATGACAAGGCATAAAAGAAAGAGGGTATTGGTGGGATGGAAAATAAAGAAACATGTGTTCTAGATTACTGTTTCAAGAATTCAGCAGCAGTCTGTGATTTAATAGATGACATAGCTAGATCCAACTAGGACTATTAGGTCTTGACTGACAAACTCCAGATGATTGCTTAGGGAAATGAAGGGGCTCCAACTCTTTGCTGCTGTCTCATGGTCATTTGAAGTTTTGCAACCTATTGACAGATCTGGTAGCCCAAATCTACACTGGTTGCTATTTGTTTCCTCTGTTAGGCTCAATAATGCAGTTGCTCTCTGGAGATAAGGATTTTTCAGCCACAGCTGTTGATAAGATGTTTGACATTTTCTGATTGCAACTTGTTCTCCTGTTGATGCTTTAGTAAAGGTAATTTGTTCTTGCAGGTATAGCTTAAACTATATCATATTCAAGTAGTTCTTGACTTAACGATTCATTGAGTGACCATTCAAAGTTACAATAGTACTGAAAAAAGTGACTTACAATCATTTTTCACACTTATGACCATTGCAACATCCCCAAGGTCATGTGATCAAAATTCAGACACTTGGCGACTGGTTCATATTTATGATGGTTGCAGTATCCTGGGATCCTCTTTTGCAATCTTCTGAAATCAAACTTTCAGCTGGGGAAGCCAGATTCACTTAACAACCATGTTACTAATTTAACAACTGCAGTGATTCACTTAACAACTGTGACAAGGAAGGTCGTGAAACGGGGCAAAATTCGCTTACCAACTGTCTTATTTAGCCATAGAAATTTTGGGCTCAATTGTGGTCATCAGTCAAGGACTACTTGTATCATGGAAAGTGAGGGTGAAAGCCTTATTTTATACATCTGCTAAATGATGTTTGGTTTGGTATAGCACCATTTCAAAGGTATTTGAATGCACGTATGTTTCCTGCATATTTCAGCCTTAGTGTTTCTCTGAATCGAATCCAACTTGGAGTGGAGAACACGATCTGTCAGTTGATTCAAGCCTTGACTGCATTAAATAGTAGGGCACAGTTCCAAAAAAACACTGCATCATGTGTTAACCATGCCTTTTAAAGAATTTATATACATTGTAGCGTATTGGTGTAGGAACAATCACAGACAATGTCTGTTGCTGAACCAACTAGGTTCTATGTTTATAAAAATATTGATGACGTAAAAAGGGTTAATTATATTTTTGTATACCTTGTTAGAAGCTCCTGACTTACGTGTAAACTGATGGAAACTTACCTTTTGTTGGTAGACCCTGCTAGCTGGAATTTTGTTTTTAAATTTTTTCTGGAAATTACAATTTACACATTTTTTATATACGCCATAACATTTCAAAATGTTTAAGTTCTGATCTTTTCTTTTTATGCAAAAGTTACTTCATTTGAGTTTTGGAGCAAACCTGCACAGGTGAGTCTTTTATTCTTGATTGGCATTTCAATTGTAAACCTGATATGCATTAGTTTCTATCATTTCGTAGGCCAAATACATTTTACAAATAAAGACCACACACACAACCTTCAGTTCTTGCAACACTGGAAGGAGGAAAGACTTTGAAAAAAGCTATTACCATGTTATCGGTAGGAAAAAGAAATGAAATGGAAGTTACTAAGTGCTTAATTTTCCAAGGAATTGAGGGAAGTGATGTAGGATGAATAGTGTCAAAAACAGGGATGTTTCTGCTGGTAGGTCTCTGTGTGGCTAAAAGTAGATTGCCAATGTTTGATCTCCAATTGTTCAATGGTAGCAACATCAAATAATTCCCTTCTTCTCTCTCCAATTAAGTCTGCTGAGTTGATCATTTTATTCTACATTTTCTTGCTTCAAGCTTATAAACAGTAAATTATCTGAGGGATTGTGTGCGTATGTGTATACATTTTACGTGTATACATTTTACTTATACTGTCTGTAAATGCCAGTATACCAGCAGCCCCCAACATTTTGGGCACCAGGGACCGGTTCTGTGGAGAGAGGTTTTTCTGTGGACCGGAGGGGGCGTGGTGTGGTTTCGTGAGCTGCCTGCATCCCACAAATGAGGCTTCGCTTGTTTGCACCGCCCGGTTTCTGGCATGCCGTGGCCTGGTGCCTGTCCACGGACTGGGGGAGGTGGACCCCTGCAGTATACCTCTGCAGAAACTATTCATGCTTCTTATACTTCTGAATATTAAGACTTGTGAGAAATATAGATTCCCTTAAGCTTCATGCCTGCTCACTCTTTTTTATACATTTTTATTAAATTTTGAAATAGGAAATAAAAACTTGCAAGAATAAATACAGAATAACATGAAAAAGAAAGAGAAGAAAAGAAAAAGACAAAGGTGTAGAAATAAATATAAATATGAATAGAAAATTATATTTTATTCTATGTTTACAAAAGAAAAGCTCACTCTACTGTTACAAAAGAAAAAGAAAAGCTAACTGTAGAAGTGACTCCTACGTATAAGTAGATGTAGTCTCTGCTTTTGGATTCATTACATTCTCTTTCCGACATGGTTTGGCTGAGATCTTTGCAAACCTGATGCCATAACATGCAGCCTTCTTGGTGGTATGCAAAGTTTAGCAAAATACAAGTTATACTCAAAGAAATCAGAAGAGCTAAGCTGTCTGTAAAGTTATTTGCATGTTCAATAAACAGAAAATTACTGAAGCCAAGGTTCTCAAACTTTGTGGTGTTATGACTCTTAATTGATTTCTGTGACCTCTTCATGTATAGAATTGTCAGGCTGTGCTCAGAGAGGGCTTCCATTGTCAGGAAGAGCTCCTGCTTTGTTAGCTTGTGGAGGCAGAGTGGGAGCATAGGAGCAGTGCCTATACAAATGAGGCTTGCATATCTAAAACTGGAACATGTTCCTGAGGCTGGGGCTCTCCTTTGATGGCCTTTGTGCTTTCAGCAATGAGTGCTTCATCAATTTCAATTTCCTCCTGAGGGCTACCCAGGATCAAGGCATTCTTGCCCAGTCTCGCTATCCCATTCTTACAAGGGTGGCTTTTCTGGGAGACATCATGCTGCATATTGTCACTGAGCCTGCACACTTATTCTAGGCAGTTTGAGATTCTAGTTTATGCTCAGTATACTGTGTCCAGCCAAATATTTCAGGAGGGAGTTTATGAATTCCAAGTTCCTGCTAGGAATGTTTGCTGGGGAGATGGGGGGGAGGAGAAAAAACCCAGCTGGGGATAATTAGCACAATAGAATTGAACCAGCAGGTCTTGCTTCGTGGTCTCTTCCATTTCCTGTTGGCTCAACAGTATTACAAAGTTCCTCAACCCCTGTGAAGACTGCCC